CATACATTAAACTCTGATAGCGATACTTCAGCCAGTCATACTGTTGATTGTAAATGGTATACGCAAGAATGTATTGAACTTAGAAATATTTTTCACAAAATGTTAAATGTCTATCGAAATAATAAATCTGATTTTAATATGACCGCAATGAAAAGGCAAAATTAACCGAGGCAAAACATAAAAACGTTCAGTTGTATTGGAAAATGCTTAAACCTTTGGCTGGTGTTAAACAGTCTTATATTCAAATTGATGTATTTCAGAAATAATTTTGAGTCTGTAAATAACCCAGAGGATCATTTTATCTTTTTCTTAGGCCTGATGAAAATGTTTTGTATTTTATAGAGAGGTATGAACAAAATGATTTTAATATAATGTTTCATGAATTGAATGTCCGTATTACTGAACAGTGCTTATTAAAAGCAATTCGTCAACTACAGACAAATAGAAGTAGAGGTCCGGATAAATACCTTAACGAATTCTTTATAAATGGTAAATACGTTTTAATGCCATTTTTGTTAAACTTATTAAACAAAATATTTGAAGTATGATACTTCCCAGAAAGTTGGTCTGAAGGATTTGTAATACCTCTACATAAACATGTCACGTGATTGGGTAGTGTAACACGTATAATGTAGTTGGTAAATTTTTGTCAAATATACTTTGGATCTTTGTTAGGAGTGTTGATAAAGTCAAATATTTGTTAAAGTACAATAATGATTGTTTAAATTATTTGTACAATGTATGCATTCTGCATTCTATACATTTGCACACTTTGTTATTTTCTATGTTAATTTAGCTGACATATGTTGCATATTAGCTCCTAATCATTGTGACATTGTTAATTTTATAATATTTTATATGTACTTGAAACAACGAGGTACTCTATTTGTACAAGTTGGAAATAAACTTTTCTTCTTCTTCTTCTTCTTCTTCTTCTTCTTCATAAAAAAGCCAATATTAATGATGAAAACAATTATAGAGGAATTATATTATGGAGTACATTAGGTAAATAATTTTCACGTGTTTTTAATAACAGACTCGTAGAATAGGCAGCAAATTATGGTGTATATATTGAGGCCCAGTTAGGTTTCAGGCAAAAAATGGGCACATTAGATAATATATTTGTTTTGCATGGTTTGATTTCTCATATGATTTCTAACGGTAACAAAATATATTGCGCTCTTATTGATTTTAGCAACGCCTTTGATTATGTTGTTAGAGACAACTTGTGGCTGAAAATAATACAATTAGGCGTCCGTGGCAAAATGTTGAATATTATAAGATCTATGTACAAGTCAGTAAAATCAAGAGTTAAATATTGTAACTTTTTAAGTGAACAATTTAATTGTATTTTAGGGGGTACGTCAGGGTGAATGCTTATCACCTTTTTTATTTGCTATGTTTCTAAATGATATTGAAGACATGTATATACATAATGGTATGCAAGGTATAGATGTCAATATGTTTAAAATATATCTTTTTTATATGCGGATGATATTGTTTTATTTGTAAACTGTTTACCTTAGTTGTCAAACCTCTAGAACCCTGATACAAATAGTAATGACTTTCATTGGATGATTCAGGCAAATACGAAGGCAGATTTGCTCATTGACTTTACTTGCGGTAATTGCAAAAAGAAATAGAAAAAATAACCAACTTAAAAGTTCACTTTTAAGTGTGTTCGTTAACAAGATTATTATAAAGATTATATAAAAGATGGATTTTAAACAAACACGTCAAAAAATATATTGTACATTATCATGATCATTTTGTCTATCAGAAATTTTGAGTAAATTTAAATACTAGTAGTTAAGAATCTTTTATTTCTCAGAGTTTTTCAATACCACAATTGACTTTAAACAAGAGAATAACGATGGCTTTTCATAAAAGTAAAATCAGCTGATCCAAACTGTAATTTATCACTTCATGTTTGCACTCTTTATGTCATTGAAATTTTGAACGTTTTTGAAACAATTTTAATACAGCCAAGTTTGTCTTTGTTTATGCTTTCAGAAGGAAGCCGAGTTAAACTCGTCTATAAGAACTAATACCTTTATGTAGTCCCTTTCCTCTTCCATTGTAATTTCAATATTTTCATACAGCTGTATTGGTTCTGTTACTTGTCTGTGAAGTCAATGAAAGTATAGGCTGTTCCTCCATTGAAATGTTTCTGTCAGATTTATCATCCTCTGTACTAGAATAAAATTTATTCTATAATTAACCTTCAAAGCACATATCATATCAAGAGTGCAATCAACTTAACAAAAATGCATAACATAACATCTAATAAGGAATTACACATTTATAAGCTATAACTAACAGCCAATGAAAACTGAACCAAAATGATCTCGGAAATGAACTCACACATGTTTGATTATGAGAGAATGTTTAGCCTAAATTTCACCAGTGATTTCACCCGTTTATTACAGATATTCGTCTAGAAATGTATTACATTGTCAAATGAAAGTTTAATTAACTATGAAATACTAAATAAAATAAGGGAGTGTTGACATTATGGTCCAGATCTCCGCCTTTCAACCGAATAATAGTGGGCTCTAGCCCGTCCATGTTGATTGTTAAACACAGATTCTTTGTGAATAATTGATTATTATGTTAATTTGCCTTAAAATGAGTCCTTTATTTGACAATTTATCAATCACCTGTGCAAGAAGCACGTGGAACCATTTCATAACATAATCAAAGCAGTGTGCAATGGTGGGACGTACACAAGTCATTGCAATGAATTCAAAATTACAAATTATTAGGCTTAATTATAAAATAATCATTTTTAATTTACTTACCATTGTTTTCCGCAAAGTTTACCTCAGCAGATTTTTCAACAAAATGACAGGCGCACATGCGTATACATTCGGAATATTTCTATTTGATCCATACATAGACTTAGACTGTCAATAAGCAGTTAGCAGTAGGCAGTGAGCAGCAGGCTGTCCAGTTAGCAGTAGGCAATGAGCAGCAGGCTGTCCAGTTAGCAGTAGGCAGTGAGCAGCAGGCTGTCCAGTTAGCAGTAGGCAGTGAGCAGTAGCACTTACAAACTTGCTTGCATGATTTCAGTCGGCCATATTCCCTAGCCATGAATGATAACTCCCTGTTTCCCTGTCTAAAATTCCACCAAATTATTCCCTTTTTAAATGAACTCAAAGAAGGGACCTTTTTAAAATACTTTGTATTTATTTATTCGATTTTTTGTTCAGAAACGGACAATTTTTTCTTTACCTTTGTATAATTTGCTTTCTATCTATATATGGCTCCTATGGTTGGTAAACATATGAGTTTTGATGGTGAACCGAAAGTAATCTAACACACAGCGTTGCTGTCATCACATGTAAACAATACATTTAATCGGTAAGAATATTGAGATATTTAGTTTCAAATGTAAAATATTAATATGGAAAACATCTATGTGTAGTTTATGTGTATTGTTTTAATGTGTTTGTCTGCTATTATAGTTGTAAAAGCCATGTACACTTAGTGTCCCTTCATAGCAACAGAGTTTAAAACGTGAGCGGTAACTGAACGAGATATGGCAAAGCGCATGCTCGCGCACTGACTTCCGCTCTATCGAAATACTGCATATACATTTAGCGAAAGTTCGTAAGTGAGTAGGCTCTCGTTTATGGATTTCCGTGATATGACCATATTGATTATCTCCCCAAAAATCGCACAATATGTAAAGTTCGCTATCAGTAACCAAAATTGTTTGGACAATAATCATTTATATACAAATTTGTTCCATTTTATTAGATAACTGCGGTTAATTAGGTTAAGAAATTATATTGTATGTCAATATTTGCTAAAGCTATAGTGTGGCGGATGTTACATAACTCGATATACAGGTCGAGCGATAAGACCATAGCAATTATCTCCCGTGCACAATCAAATTTGTTAAATAAACGCTTTAAACATTACTATTGTCGCAGTCTGTAAAATGTAGGTACAATTCACACTTTCGTTATCAACATGATTTAAATTCAATATTCAATTGAGAAAGATTTTAATCTGTCAAATTATCTACTTCACTAGTGAAATATCTAATCTTATATATAAAGTCAGTACAATTGAATTTTTGTTACACTTAATTATTCTTTTAAATCTTATGTTGTATATATACTTTTGACACATACGACGAAAATGTGAATTATTATAAAGTAGGCCTACATCATGTAATAGGTGAATATATGTTTTCATTTCCTATATAAAATGTGCTACTGTAATGCATGTTTGAGATCATGTCAACTAAGTATTGATGCACGTTTGCCATATTATATATATTTTGCATATTGTACCACATGGGTCTATGACCTTCTGGGAAAAGATAAATAAACCTGTTAAACTTGTTTAACTTATTAAACAAACTAATGATAACAATTAACTTTAAAGTTTATTCTGTTCTAATTCTGTTTTATGTTTTATTTGACAATAAGCAAATGACGATTGTTAATATATCTTTTGTGTCTTTTAATCTCCTTGCTGGTGTTACATAACTCTTTATCTGTAAGCCGGCGACTAGCGCTGTTGTTTTCTGTATGGTGGTTCCTGGCTCGATGTAATGTCTGGTTACTGGAATTATTAAACTGTACACCACCAGCCTTGGCAATGTAAAAATGTTTTTCGTGCTGTAAATTTAACTGTTTTAGAAATATCTTAAATGTAATTTACAAGTATGTTCTTATCTTTTGAAAGCATTTGTTCAGAATATCACATAAATAGTTAATTAATACTTAGTGATCAGAGTATCAAGAGAAAAGAAGATCAAGAAGTGATGCTCTTCATCAATAGCATTCACATATATACATTGTTCAACAATCAAAACGAATACTTTTAATTACAAGTAGTTTTAATGTTTGATTCTGCTTAAGTCTACCATAGATATGTTGAGTTAAATCAGAGTATTTCATATTCAAATACTCCTGGATTAATAAACGACAAAATCTCATATTATATCTGAACTGCTCTGTGATGAGCAAGCATCAAGATAGATTTTAAGGTTTTTGGTCATTTTGAATGTTGAAATCTGGATCTTTGTCTTTGATGCTACCAACCAACTCTTCTATCAGCTGTTCGCGACGATAGAGTTTGTTTTCTACTTCCATCAGCTGTAAATTTAGATTATACAATGTATGTACAATGTAATCACTTTGTTAAATTTAAATGCTTTCCAGTGTTTAAAGGACCAATCATTAGCAGAGACATTTTTATAGGAGAGAAGCTCCATTGCAGAGTCTTATGTTGATAAAGTAGTAGATGATTTAAACATTTTAAAGAAAAAAAATCGCCATGTTTGTATGTGGGGGATTCGAAAAAGAATCCTTTAGGATTAAAATCAAAATTAGAAATTGAATATGATTCATATTTAGATGACACATAGTCGTATATCACTATCCTTAAAATATATATTGAGGATAAAGACGAATAATAATTAAGATAGAAATATATAAACTGAAAAAAACAATTATATATTCATTAACAAGTATTTTGTTTTCAGCATACAAAGGAAATATCATGACATAATATAAATAAACATAATATTAAATCAATACTAGTGATTGTTTATGTAGAAATCACTCTCGATGTAATGCTTTATATTTTATTACAAGTGTCATATCAAATATTGTTTTAAAAAAGTCCTAAAATTTTACTTCTTAGACTTTTCGCTTTCCATTACATCTAGAAGTAATTTTTTGCGGACAACTCAGTAAAAAGTATGGCGTCACATCTTGTTTTTCATTGACTTTTAAATTTTCGTTTTTCCCATGAACGTTAAAAAAAGAAGTCTTACAAATTGTTTCTCAGTCTTTTCGTTCATTTTCGATTTTCCATTGAGAAGTAATTTCGGACTATAAAAATATTAAACTTAAACTTTCTGAAATTACTAAAGCCAACATTTTTTTTTGTCTAGTGCTATGTAAGCTATGATAAACCGCCTAAATAACTGAATACATATATACCATATCTGAATGTAAATATAGTTTGTTTTAGTTGATTCGTTGTGAAAATCGTGTTAAGTTAGATTGGTTTGTGTGTAGATTATGATGTTATTTCGTTGTTTTAGTTGGCCTGTGAGAATGTTTTTGTATTTATTACCTCTTTATATTAGTTCTGTAGTCAAACGAGTTGTCTTATTGAAAAAAATATGAGTGAATTAAAAATCTTATCTCTTAATTGTAGAGGCCTACAAGGTATCAAGAAAAGGCTGCAAGTATTTCAGTACATAAAAGATTCCAAATGTTGTATTTACTGTCTTCAAGACACACATTTTATACACAGTCAATTTAATACCATTTATACTCAGTGGAATGCGGAATGTTTTTTAAGTTCTAGGGGAGTTGCAATATGTTTCTCAAAGTCACTAGATTACAAAATACATAAAAGTATAGTTGATGATTTTGGAAATTATGTCATACTGGACTTATCTGTTGGAGAAATAAGATTTACTTTAGTATCGTTATACGGACCGAACTCCGACAATCCGTCCTTTTATGAGAACATTTTCAAGGTCGTTGAGAATATAGGAAATGACTCGTATTGCATTTGTGGTGATTTCAATTTAGTGCAAAATCCTGATTTAGATTATTATAACTATAAGAATATAAAAATAAAAAAGATGCAAGATCAACTCTTTTGAAACACATGGAAAAGAAAAGTCTAACTGATCATTTTAGGGAATTTCAACCTGATATAAATGCGATATACTTGGCGAAAGGCAAACCCACTGCAACAAGCTAGGCTCGATTTCTTTATTTTATCTTCTTTTATGTTACCATACTGTGAAAATGTTTTTATCAAACCTAGTTTTCAGTCTGATCATTCAATTATTATAATGCAATTAAAATTTAATGATTTTAAGCATGGTAAAGGGCTCTGGAAACACAACAATTCTCTACTTAGAGATATTCAATATGTTAATGAAATAATAAAAAAAATGAAGAACGTTAAAAAGCAATATGCCATACCTGTTTATAATTTCGAAACAATTGAAAGTGTTCCAAACGAGGATATACAATTTGTAATAAACGATCAGTTATTTTTATTTAAACTTTATTAATGGAAATAAGAGGTAAATCCATATCCTACGGTTCTTATAAGAAAAAAGCAAGTAATGAAAGGGAAATACAGATAAAAAAAGATATTGAAATACTAGAAAATTCAGAAACTATTCAAAATAATGAAAACTCGAACAGCTGCGTAACGAATTAAATATTATACAAGAAAATAGTTTCAAGGTTACATTTTGAGATCAAAAGTGGACTGGGTAATTGATGGAGAGAAACCAAAGTAAATTATTTAGTAATCTTGAAAAAAGCAATTATGTTAATAAATGTATCACAAAAAATCATGAAAAACGATGGTACTTTAATAACAAAACAAGAAGAAATCTTAAACGAAACTGCATTTTTTATGAATCATTATATACGTGTACCTCACATGGCTTAGAGGATAATATGTTTTTAAACTTTGTTAAAGATATAAACATTCCACATTATCAATACAGAGTCAAAATCCCTCGAGGGTAAAATCAGACTAGAAGAAGAATCAACCGTTTTTAAAGAATATGAAAAATAATAAAAGTCCAGGCTCATCTGGATTTTCAGCAGAATTTTATAAATGTTTTTGGAACAGAATTGGCGTATTTGTTTGCAGGGCTCTAAACCATGCTTTTATATCCGGAAACTTATCTGTAACACAAACACAGGGTATATAATAACGTGTATCCCTAAAGGTGATAAGCCAAAACAAATTTTTAAAAAAATTGGCGACCGATAACACTGCTTAATACAATTTATAAAATTGGTTCTGGATGCATAGCGAATAGAATAAAATATTTCTAGACAAACTTATTAACACTGACCAAACAGGAATTATAAAGGGCAGATTTATAGGAGAAAATGTAAGACTTATTTATGATATAATGCAATATACAGAGGAGAATAACATATCTGGGCTTTTACTCCTTATCGATTTCGAAAAGGCTTTTGATTCTTTGTCTTTGGTTTTTTGTAGATATAAAACGTTGTCATTTTTTAATTTTGGAGAAGACATCAAAAGATGGGTTAGCATTTTCTATAAAGATGGGATTTCAGTAATATGTCAAAATGGATTTTTATCAAAAGTTCTTTAGCATTCAGGCGTGGGTGCCGGCAAGGTGATCCGTTAAGTTGTTATATTTTTATTTTATGTGCTGAAATACTTTCGCAGAAAATTAGGTCAAATAACAATATTAAAGGAATTAAAATGAATATGGTAGAACATAAGCTATCTCAATTCGCAGATGATACTTCAATTATTCTAGATGGTTCGGCCTCTTCTTTAAATGAAACCTTAGACACATTGTCCAGTTTTACATTTATTTCTGGTTTGAAAGTTAATTTTGACAAAAACAAAAGTCGTCTGGATTGGAAAAGAAAATTTAGTGCAAAATAGTATAAAAAAAATGGAAATTATCTTGGAATCAGCAAAAGTTTGAACATGCTTGGCTTTAAGTTTCGTGTAGATTTGTCAAAAATGATAGAGTTAAACTACAAATCTAAAAATTGCAAAAGCAGAAAATATTTTTTAAAATGTGGAAGAGAAGAATAATTACACCAATTGGAAGAATAATTGTCATTAAACTCTTGTACTGTCACTCTTAAAATCACTTGTTTGTTTCTTTGCCTAATCCTCCAAAATCTTATATTCAACAAATAGAAACTTTATTCTTTGATTTTATATGGCAAGGTCCGTGCAAAGTTAAAAAAGACGTTTTGATAAAAAATAAAAAAGATGGAGGTCTTGACATGATAGATTTAAATGCATTTATATCTGCATTAAAAACTACTTGGATAAGACGAATCATTACGAGCAACGGACAATGGCTAGATATTGTTTCTAATCTAATAGATATAGATAAATTATTAAATTGTGGCTCTCATTACCCAGAAACCATAGCGAAATCCTGTAAAAACTTATTTTGGAAAGATACTTTAAATGCTTTTGTTCAATTATGTAAAAAAAATATCCCATGTTCCGATAAAAGTGTTGGAATATCCATTATCTTATAATCCAGATATATTGATTGGTAAAAAAGTATTTTAAAAGTCATGGTTTAATGCTGGTGTCCAGTGTATAGGTGACTTGTTTAAACATGAATGGGGATTTATATGAGATCCATGAATTCAATAAAAATTTATAATTTGAGTGCTTTTTTTTTGCATTTTCAAAGGCATATGTAAACCGTAGTTAAATATTTTAAAAAGTGTTGGTTATTCTAAATTAAAAAGTTTTAACCCAAAATGTTTCAAAAACCTTATATTCCCCCAAACCCCTCAAAAATATTAAAAAAATGAAAAAAGGGTTTTAGCAACCCAAAGCAAAAATATATTTTAAAAACAAATAACAGTAAAAAGCTTTTTTGGGAAACCTTAAAATTTTTGATCAAAAAAACTAAAAAAAAATTTTTTAAAATTTTGGAAAAATAAAAAGGAATCATTTTTTTTACTTAATTTTTGAAAACCCCCAAAAAAAAAGAATTTTTTAAAGGTTCAAAACAGAATTGTACCCCCAGAAATTTTTGGCACAAAACCCAACTTTTTTAAAAAAGAACAAACAAAGAAACCGAGAATTGGTTTTTTGCAACAAATTTTTTTTGAAAGCTTTTGGGAAAACCTTTTTTTTTGGGGCTGTGAAGTTGTTTTTGATATGATTCATGGTCTTTTTGAAAATACTCATTTACATTTGACAAGAATAGAATTTCTTTTAGGAATACAATATGTTGATAATGAAACTAATCTTTTGCTTTTATTTGTCAAGAAGTATATATATTTTTGTAAAGAATTTTAAAAGACCGACTATAGAGGCTGCTAAGCATTATATTTAAGTACCAATACCAAATCGAGAGAGAAACACAAAAATATTAACAAAGTAGATATTTTTGACAACAGTGGGACAGTTTGAAATATATTTTCATTTCTTCATACCAAGATTAGTATGTGAGTGTGGACATTGTGTTATTGATTATGTGTTATTATTATTATTTTTAAACACATATGACTAGAAACAGTTTTTATTCATTAGACTACAGGTTACAAAACTATATATTGAAAAGTTAAGTGAGATTATAAATTAATCACAGGCTTTTAATTTTTTTAATGTACCTTGTGTGTTTGTTTTGTTTGTTTATATATATGTATGTCTTTGTATGTATGTATGTTTGTATGTATGTATTTATCTGTTTTCAAAATAAACGGGGTTACCATTTAAGGGCCTCAAAAAAAAAAAAAGATAGAAATTTTATCTTTCTGACATTTGATAAGTGTTTGTTTCAAGAAAAAAATATCACTTTTGTTCTCATCCAAACTCAACCTATATTGTCAGAAAGCTGAATAATGAAATATATGTACATATGTAATATTAAAAAAAATGTTGTATACTTATAACTAAAAAATGACAAAATATTAAATTAATTAATACTGTTGAAATAAATTGCATATTTTTATTCTGTATTTTTACTGTAAAAAATATTTTTCACTGCAGATAAACATATTTTCAGTATTTTCACTGGTGTCTTGTTTGACTACTTTCTTCTTAATTAACCCATTACTCAGAATTAAAGAAAAAGTCTAAAGAATTATAAGGTCAAAAAAGAGGAAAAGCTTCTTCAAAATAAAGTAAACCGTTGATAGTGATATGCCTACCTTTCTTGCAATATCACGGACTGTAAATCTGGCATCTCCTTCAATGATATCCTTTATTTTGTAAACGATATCGTTACGAGATGAGAATTTTGGCCACTGGACATTTTTGGTGGCGTTTTTTTTGATGCACTCCTACTCAAATTTCTTTTTCCATCGCTTAACTTATTTTCATGAAGGCAAACAAGAAGACCCTAAGCAGTAGAGAGTTTTTAGTCATAAAATGCTTCAAAAAGCAACTTACTTTTGAGCCCGTATTCAATCTTTTTTGTCGACGGTTGAGCTAGCTTTACAAACCATGACCTACCGTGTATTAAAATGGCAATTTGTATGTCTTACAACTTAGTCTAAACATGTACATTTATAACACTGTTGTGTAGGTATTGAATTACCCTATACAGGTATGTATTGGTTTTTAATCGTGTCCGAGATAAGCAAGGGGAAAACCAATAAAAACAATTATTTTCGAACAGCCCCCCGTATTTTTAATTTTTTAAAAACATTTTAACTTTAAAATTTCAAATTTAAGTTATAGTTTCCCCAAACCCCTAACTATTTGGTTTTTTTTTATGAACAAGGGGGTTTTAAAAAGATAAAATAATTATGAAAATTTAACGGTTAATTTTGTTTAAAAAAGGGATTTAAATGTAAAAAAAGTTCTGTAATTTAAAATGTTTTTTACCCGTGAATAATTATTGAAATTGTGAGACAAAATTTAAATTTGGAAAAAGCATTCCTATGTCTTATGATAGTGTCGAAAATTTAAAACTGTCATTTTAAAAACGTAGGGTTTAAAAATCGATATTAAAGCCGTAACCCCTTTTTAAAAATTAAAATTGAAAAATTTTTTGTTAAAATTTTTAAAAAGAACTATAAAGAAAAAACTAAAAGGTTGTTCAAAACCTTCCCCTAGGTTTTGGCATATACTTTTCTAATTTACATTATTATCTATGGATAAACACAACGATTAATAAGACAAAATGGTGGCAAATGCGCCAGATTGTACGATGTGATAACCAGGCGCTAATGACCGGTTGCTTGTCCCATTATAGTATTCCCCAGGTACTTAAACAGTGACTATAATGTTTATACTTTAATCTAAAACATCAAGCTTAAGCAGTTTTAATTGAGCTTATATATTTCTTTGTTTTACAGATGGTGGAAAAAAGGAATTCACAAAAGCTGGTTTGAAAGAAAGTCTTGATATGGGCATGGATGAATGAATAAACGGAGAATCTGGACTAGCAGCAAGAAAAGCAGGCTGTTTAAATTTGGTAAATTATTTATGGTCACATATTTATTCTGTTATTCCTGTTAATTGGATTTTATTATAATGAACTTTTATATCATGTAAATCATGCCACTGGAGTCTATTAATTTGGATGTGTTAAATCGGAAAAACATTTTTATGTCTTCATTAAATTTATGAAATTGCTCAAAGCTTTTACTGATATTTGGCATGTAGCATTGCCTTGTGAACATTTGCAAAAGTTGAATAAAGCCAAAAGTGGATTGCCATGGGGTTACTTAGTTTATACTGTATATACATGTATAATAGAGATGTATCTAAAAAAAGTTTCATTGCCCAAAGCTTTGATGTTTGGCATGTACTCTGCAAAAGTTATTAAAATCATGCCCCAAGGGGTCAAAATTGATCCTACCAGAGGAGATTTATATAGACTAACAGATAAGTACCTTTAAGTTGTTTCTTAGACATAATATTCTGTCCCAGGTTTACAAAACTTAATGCCCATAGCTTATATTTCGGGCATGTAGCTTTGCTTTGTGGTCTGTTATAAAAGTAACATAAACCATGCCCTTGAAGACAAAAAAGGTATAGCCTTGGGGTCATTGATTATGAATAGACTTTTATAGTAAAAAAAACCATCTAAGTCTGATTGTATGATATTACAATGCCCAAAGTTATGATACTTAGCACAAAATAATTTCTAGCGGACATCTGCCTATGTTTAAAAAATCTGCAGCTTGGGTCAGAAACGACAACAAGTGTGACTTTATTACTGACTTTTGCATGGAAAAATTATGGCTTTTTCTAATAACGTTTTTACAGTGAGGTATCCAGGGCCATCACAACCCTCTTTTTTGTTTGTTAACTTGACTGTCAAGACAAGCTTTTATAGGATCCGTTCACAATAAAGCACTTATTATATTTGATCCCGCTTCGGGGTGCTCTTATTTATGAATGTAATATTCTAAATATAAATAAAATTAATAGGGATATAGCCTTGTTTTTGTATATCCTTAACAATTGACAATTAGTTACCTCCAAGTTCTTATGTCTTTGGTAAGAACAGTTTGGCTGTATGTGTCAAAATAAGTTGCATTAGGAGCCATCTTGCAGAAGCATTAATTTGAATAACATAAGTGGCAAAAATTAGGACTGAATTAAGAAACGGGTATTTTGCTGTAAAGTGGTTTACATGACTTGTTAAACAAAATGTGTACCATAAAGTAACCATAGTGTGAGTTTATATCTTGTTTTAAATTACACACCCATAAGTTGTATTTAAAAAGTAACCGAATAGGAAAAGAAATTGGACGATAGAAGTCAACCCCATGACGTTTAATAAATCAACCAAATGGTGACAAGCTTTGTGTTATAGTGGGAGCATTTAGATTTGCCCTTGTCTGTCTGTCCGTACGTTCTCATATGCCACATGTAGCTTTAAAAGTGCTTTAGCTAGAGTCAACAAAATTTACAAATATGTTGATTAGCACCAGGAGTTATGCGTCAGGGCTTTTGCTTGTGGTTTAATTCTTTATTTTTGATGTACTATATTTGAAAAGTAACTGATTTACCAATTATCAAAACTATTTTTAACGGCTTTTCACATGACTTGTCATTTGTATAAAACAGGTTTCTTATAAATTGGGACAATCAAGTCTCCAAAGTTATGTCCCCCTTTTTACTCTCTATTCAATACCAAATGTTTCTGTTATTATTTACTATGAGTTTCCCTATTTCAATAGAGAAGACAGTCGTATACTATATCCCTCTGCTGAGATACATATAACTAATAACATAAAAATAATGTCAGCTTTTTTTTCGGTTTTATTTATTGCTGATGTGTCCGATATTGCGACGCATCCTGCAGTTTTTTTTTCTTTTTCTTTTTTAACTTTTAGATTAGGGTATGATACAGCAGTTGTCTGTTTTAGAAGTAACCCTTCTGCTGAACAGCTCTGTTAATTAAGGTCACGTATGAAAGATTGTTAGTTTCCTTCTGAGAGAAGCAGGGAAACAAATATGCGACCTCTCATTTACTTTTCATGCGCATTACTATGAACCAGGATTCCATTGCAATTGTTAGATAATGGTGTATTCAAATCATTTATAAAGTTACATGTATGTCTTGCCATGACTGCATCATTTGCCATCTCGTGGTTCTATATCATTTTATATATTTTAATATTATTGTTCTCTACGCACGATGGACTGTATCTACTTACACAAAGTGTACAGGTTTCAGCACACCAACATAAAGCAAAAGGATCATCTACATCCTCGAGTATAGTTTTCATGTATTTAAAGTCATGGCTAGCAATATATATATATTTTTGTTAGAAATGACTAATAAGGATCCATCATTTAACAGTGTAATACCCCTTACGGAACTAATTCCTGCTCTTCTTTCCATCAACTGTCCCTGCCAGTTAAACCTCGCAATCATAGCCTTGCCATTGTCAGAGACATAGATTGAATCATAGTTTGTAGTGACAAACCTAGCTACCCTGAAAATACTGCCACCACTGAAATCCGTATCAACTGTAATTTCAGTATTACCTTTCAAGTCCATGATTTGGAGTTTAGCAGGACATTTAAATGTAACTGCCATTTTCCCTTGATGATAACTAATACCATTACACTGCCCATCAACTGTCAGTTTGTTCTTCAGTGAGAGTGAGTCGTGGGAGAAGGAAATGAACTGTATTGTTTCACTTTGTGGTATTGTAACAGCAAGTGAATCACCGGAGACAATGGTGACATCCCAGGGATATAAGTCAAGCTGTAATTGTGTGATTACTCCATTTATAATGTCTATCATTTTAACCGACTTATTGAGGTGATCTGCTGCAAATATTTTGTTTGGAGAAGAAACAGTTAAACCAGTAATGTAGCAAGTCCTTTTATCCGATGATGTTTTAGCATTGATATTTCTAGGAGAAGACATTTTCATTGCAACTGCAAATTGATTCTTTGGTTTGGCTGGCTGCTCGAGTTTCTTATTGCTCAATATTCCTAATGATTTCTCGTCTTGAACGACATTTTTGATAGCTTGATTTGGTTCAAAGATGTATACGTCAAAATCATTAACTGTTGGTAGTTGTGATGTTGTTTTTTCGTTATTTTGAATCAGTTGCTGAGCTATCTTAAGTTCAACAAACAGTTGGTCAGTTTTCTTGTGTGAATTGAGATGTTTAAGAGTATCAGCTGATGCTTGAAGTGATTTGTTGATGACATCACATGTTGTTTCTGTTGTTTTCAACTTGTCGTTGTTGTCGGATTGGATTGTTGCTGCAGTATCTCTAACATTCTTTTTTAATTCATCTAATCTATGGTTAATCTCTTTTCTGAATTTTTCTATTTCTGTTAAAGCATCTTGTAGAGAAGTCGTTGATAAAGCAACTCTTTGCTGTAGATCTTTACTAATCTGGCTGCATTTGTCTGTCAATGTGTTAATATCTTTTAGAGTTTTCTTGAGCTCAGAGCTGTCTACAATCTGTCCTGATATATCAGGTATGTAGTCCACATGACAGGATGTTGGTGTGTGTTCAAGGGTTACACAAACGCTACATATAAGTGCATTATGGTCATGACAATAAAATTTGATAACTTCTTTCGTGTGTTTCGTACAAGGCTTTGTTAGATCATCGGCCAGTGCACTGGGAGCAGACTTCGATGATTTATGGAGGTTTTGCTTTTGTGGCATGTGTTCTTTGTCTAGAAGTTGGTGATGGCGGGATGGTTTGGGTCGCAGATGATTACTGAAGCAGGTATGGCATAAGTGTTCCTCACAATCCACACAGTAACCAAAGGAAGGTAGCCTGATATCATCTCTGTCACATATTTCACAGAAAATATCGAAATCTTCAGCACCGCCTTGAGATATTGTTGTTGAGAATTTCTGCGATGCCTTTTTACCCGGGACAGCCATAAAGATATCTAAAATAGACAAATACAAGAAAGTTATTTACATCAAACAGTGGATATTTTGTTCCTTATCTACACTTTTTACTGATTCTATTACTATTTGTCTTGAATGACTCTTCCTTAAATAATGTTGTTATATTAGTACCCCTTTTTATTATATCCTTATTAAGTAGATGGCAAATCCTTATTTAAAACATTATTTACATTTATGAGCATTAAATGTTAAATAATTTCCAGTTTGTTTGAACTGCACCGGGTAAGAATTTGATCATTTTAATTTCATAACAAATATCTCAAACTATAAGGGAAATAAGTTTTAACAAGGCAGTCGGAAGGACAGCTTAATCCCCTTCCGCAGTGAATATGAATGTGTACTTCTTAGCCTTTAATCAACAATGACCTTGATGCTGTGCCAGGCATATCATAAGCACATAGTATCACAATGGTGATTATTTGTGCAGTTATTTAAAGTCTTCCATAAAGAGAACATCTAACATTGACCTTGGGGGTAGCAACGTGGATGTTGTGCTCTGCAGATTGTGTCATTGTGGGGATCACTTGTGCCAAGAAATTTTAAAACCTTTGAATTGTCAAAAAAGTTATAGAGCGGACATGAAAAAAGATGTTTTTACATTAGACATTTTAGTGTGACTCTGATCTTGGGGGTAGTAACCGAATTATTGCGCTTTGCACATCGTCTCATAACGGTTATTACTTGTGCCAAGTTATTTAAAAAAATCAGCTGTTTAAAAGTTATGGAGTGGACACGAAATGTAGACTTTTGACAATTGACCTTTAAGTGTAACCTAGCCCTTGGGTTAGCAACTAAATTATGGCGCTCTGCATATCTTCTCATAATGGTGAGTTTGCAAAGATTTTTTTTTAATTTCAGAGGTTTATATGTTATTGAGCAGACACGAATTGTAGACTTTTTTACTTTTGACCTTTAAGTGTGTCCTTGACCATATGGATATCAACCTAATTATTGCGCATTTGCACATTGTCTTATAATGATGATCAGTTGTGCCAAATTATTTAAAACAATTTTAGCGCTTTAAAAGTTATTGAGCTGACAAGAAAGTGTAACGGACGGACAGATTAACGGACAGACGGAGGCCATTCTTATAATCCCCTGCTCTCCCCGCTATTTTGAGTCTTTACACCGTGTGAGTATGATACGCTAATTAAACGGGATAGCTGTGTCGCTTTTGACAGATTTAAGTGCATTAATGTTTATCTGTACATAATCATGAAAGGGGGGTGGGCTTCAGAAACAGAAAGATATAGGTCTTTGACTTCAAAGGCCAAACAAACAAAATTTAATCATTGGAACTAATATAGAGACAATAGAGGGGTACTGTAAATGATAATCTCAAGTATAATCGGGTTGTAGGTCAAAGTTAGATTTTTCTAAAATAAAAAAGGAACTGTATACCGCACCGAACATTATAATCATTAACAACCTAGTAAAAAATTAGTTCTAGCTAATAAAAATAGTTACTAGTAGTTAAAGGTAAATTATAAAGAAACAAATACGGTCGTAATCAGATCTACATAACAGAACTAGGTACATCTGAACTTTAGTCAGTCAGGGTGTTGGCCATATGCCCGTTACTCTGGCGCAACGTGGTACACATTCATAACTTGAAAACGATAATTCAGTGTTTGAAACAGAAGATAAATAATAAAACACACTTTCAGAGAGATCATCAACACACAATGAGACAGATTGGAGAATGAATTCCGGAAGACTTTTAGTATAAAAAGCGCTCGTCCTTATCATGCATATATTCGCCATTTTTATTTGTTTGGGTCGTCAGACCAAACAAATAATGGTAGCAAAATATCAGACCCTAATGCTGTTAATTGCAAATGCCGAAAGTAGTTCGCCTTTTTGAAGCGGTTACTTCCCTTTATATGTACACTAACGCCGAAAAATTCAGGGGAGATCACTGCG